CATGTGGACATAAAAGGCAAAGAGAGGATGGACAGAAAGGTGAAAACCTTCAAAGCTAGCTTGGAGGCATTTTTTGCCAGACGCCATGCTTGAGTCTATCCAGATCCTATTAGTTGCTATAAGTCTCAATTATGAGATTTCATTTTGGGAGTTGGATGTCAGGATATCTACATACAACAACCAAAAGGGTTTATAGCAAATGAGTAGGAACACACGATATACAAGTTGTGAAAGTCTATTTCATAGACTTAAGCAAGCATCCAGGTCTTGAAACATCAGTTTTGATCAGGTTATCAAAATTTTGATTTTGAGAGAACCTTGATGAATGATGTGTATTTGTATGTAAAGGATACAACGGAAGACAATATTTTTTCTGGTACTTTATGTAGATGATATGCTCCTTATTAGAAACAATGTGGAGGTAATATCAAGCATAAAGAGTTGGCTAAGTTAGTGTTTTGGTATGGAAGTACTGGGGAAGCCAACTATATTCTTGGTATAAAACTCTTATGAGACCGGAAGAATAAGTTGTTGGCATCACCTCAGGCTACTTACATTGACAAAACCCAAAATTCAACATGAGAATTCTAAGAGAAGAATTATAATTCTCAGATGTGGAATTCATCTTCCTAAGGAGTGACTAAAGACTTCTAAGAAGGAAGAATGCATGAGCAAGATATCTTATGCTTTGGCAAAGGTAGACTCACGCATATCATGTTGGGCGTTAAACCAGACATCTGTCACGTAGTGGGAGTAGTGAGATAGTACCATTTTGAACTTAGAGGAATACTAGATTATTGTTAAGCATGTACTCAAGTATCTTTGGAGAACGAGAGATTATATGCTGGTATATTCTAGTGGGAGTCTTGAAAAGCTGAGTTTTCAAAAATTCAGTTATTTCAAGTGGATATTGACTCAAGAAAATCAACCTCGAGCTATGAGTTTTTCACTAAACTCAGATAGCATTAGAGGTGGATCTTGCAGACCCAGTTACTAAGAGTTTGCCTGAACTTGTGTTCGAGAGGCATGTTACTTCTTTGGGTCTTAGGAGGATCCCAGACTTGCATTAAGCAAGTGGGAGTTATTGGTTTCATTGTGCTCTTGGAATAAGACGATGAAACAATAAAATCATTTTCTGAATTTCATAAATAAGGTTTTATTTATTTTGCGCACTATTTACAAACATAAAGGTCCGAATCAAATTGTGGAGTATATGATCATATGGATACGTTCATGGAGGACATGATCATAGGATCTCACAATTGATGAATGGAGTCACAGCCGTTAAATAAAGTTGGGCACTTTATTCAGGCTGCAATATTTTATGAAATGATTTTGTCTGAATCATTGTAAAATATTGGTGTGAATTAACATTCACATTGAAAGGATCAAGGAGAGATTTGATTAAGGTTGTTTTTCTGTCATAAGGTATCAAATCTCCAGTTAACTATAGTTATGTGATTGCTCTTAATCCTGCGTTTATTATAAATAGGTAATCAAATAGTTTTCATTCTTTGATTTACCAACGGGTGAGGTCCGATCTTTTGACGGCCAATAACTCGTGTTTTGGGAGTGAGATTATTTGATTATCAGTATTTATGAGATAAACAACAAGGAATTTATAGGAAATGTCCCCTTGATATATTTCGGTACTTGGATATTAATGACACTGGCCAGTGCATGTAATCCATTAGAGAAATTATCAAAGTCAAGGGAATAAATAATTGATTGGGTTACAGAAAACTAATCAATGAATTATAGACATTCTATAAAGGGGCAATGCATATTAATGTTATAAAGGTCATCAATCTTGGAGTTCACGTTCGGGCTTTTAGTGGAGTAGCGCCGAATTAGATAATCTTTCAAAGATTATCAGGAGCCTTGATCAATGACAAATGGTAGGTCCCCAGGCTAGCTCGAGACAAGGGATGGGGTATATTATCAGATGATGATAACTTATGGGCTACATGGCCTTGGGTTTACGAACTCAAGTTTGTATCTTAAAGAGCAAGTGAGAGATTGTTGGATATATGCTCTTTTGGTCACTAAAGTCCTATTGGGCTTCAGTGACACTTGAGCCCATGAGGCTTAGGGTTGAGTTATGTCTAAGACCTAAGCGTATATATTCATAGTTTTCTCCTCTTGTGCCTCCAAGGTGAACAGATCATCAGAAACAAACCCCAAGAGGCAGACGTTCATCATCTGAACGGTTGCCCACACAACCATCTCATCCTCCTCGAGAGATAGTTTGGAAGATCTGCCACAGTCCAGCTTCAAGGAGGTTGTTCGTGCTGCGGCGCTGAGGTGAGTTGTTCGTGAAGAGGAATCCTACAAGGGAAGATTCTACACGAGACCTGCGCACCGAGAGGTAATTGTGAAACAAGGATGATTCGGTAAGCATACCAATGTACTAGGTCCTAAACTGCTTCCGCATAAATCTAAGATTTCCTACATAGATTGCATAGCCTAGTGAAAACTGGTCTCTTGTATTGTGCATATTTTTTCTGGCCATCCTTAAACATTCATCGAATATTTAGTCCGTTTTGGTTTTGAAAACATAAACTTCTTGTGACATTTTGGGTACACAGTGCACCGTATGGAGGGTTATGACTTCGTTTTTTGCAACTAGGCTTATGTACATAAAAAGTAGGTGTAATTTACAAAAAAAAAAAAAAAAAAAAAAGTAGGTGTATATCATCATTGAATGGAATCAATCTACAGTTAAAAACCACACTGAAAACTGATTAAATTTGATTTATTTATTTTTTAAATAAAAACTGATAAATTCTTTTTGATTTTTTATTTTCATTTGGTTTTGTAGTTCTTATTGGATATTTGGGATAATTTGATTTTAATTTTGACATGGCTTAAAAGTTATGTTAAATCTTTTTTTTTGGGCTGAAAATTCATAAAAAAAAAACTAAAAGTAAATTTATTTTAATGGGTTTGGTTTGATCACCCAATCAAAACCAAACAAATCTGATCTCAACAGTCAACATTAAAAAAACACAAATTAAATAGTTCGGTAAGGTTGATTTTTTTTTTCTTTTAAAAAAAAATTAAAAATATAAGAGTAACACTTTTATACAATCGATCTTCTTTCCGCAAGTCCATAATCCTTGTGTCAAAATTTGCGCTTTGCCCTTTTTCCTTGTCAAAAGAATCAAAAGTTAAACTACGAACCCCTTAAAATGTTCCTATTTTGCATGCAATTGTCATATATATGGAGTATTTATAAGGATTGGTAAAAAAATCAGCCATTGGCCTTGAATTCATTAAGAGGGGATTCTAAACACATTTAAGGCACACATCTTTTGGAAACTACATAGTTATGGCCTTAAATACTAAAATTATTAATTTGTAAGCTTTGTTCTTCAAAATCAACCCAGTCAAATTTCAATTAAACCTTGGGGCTAAAATTAAGTTATTTCATACTAGGTAAAAAAATTAAAATATTACAATTTAAATAAAAAATATGAAATTATAACAATTTACTACAATTTCGTACTTTGTATTTAAATTGCAATATTTTAATTTTTTTTCCCCTTTCATACTACCTTCTCAAATCCATTTTTACTTTACCTATACAAATAATTTTCACATATGATGGAAGTGTCTTATACTAAGAAACTTAAATGTCGTTTAATTAACTATTCAAGATGGATATAACTAAAAAATCATCAGTATCTTAATTTTATTTTAGTTTTTCATACTACAAGTCTATAATTTCTAAAACAATATTTTTTAATATCTTCACTGATTTTTTTATTATTCGACTAATCTTGACCTATTGGACCTATACAGGGGCAGCTCTAACTCAAATATTAGATACTTGTTGAATGAATAAAATTTAATATTATATAATAGGATTTAATGTCTCTCATATTGTAGGAGATAAAACTATCTCCACACACAAAAGTGTGTGAAACCCAATAAGAAACATCTCCGTGTATGTCAAATACCTTACTAAACTACTTATTCTAAGTTAAAATTACACAATTTAAAATAAAATATAATTCTTAAATAATAAATAATTTCAAATAAAAACTCTAAATATGTAACAGCTCCGTGTACGTTACTGCAACACTCTCATGCACACTCATTTTGTTCCAATGTTAACAGCCACATACACCACCGGTCCTTCTGCAAGCGTGGTCCATTTGTCCCACCCTGTCTCTTGTCTTATCTGGTCCTTCAATCTGGTTGCAGATACACATGTTTTCACCTTGCATTAAATGGGTTGTACTCAATTCATCAATTATATATGATAAGGAGAAAATCCGGTGCTCAAGGCTCCTTCATTTATGAGGTAAGTGTTGGAAATAATCAAGTATGAGTTGTAAAGAAGTACCACATAGACTAGACATAGACTAAGTGATGACCATATAAGTGCAAAAGACCCATAAACCTACAGCCTTAAGGTTTTGGGTTGAGATGTGGTGTCGGCCCACTTATTGTGGTTTGTCATTTGGCTCATTGGAGGATGTACACCCTTTGCAAAGGGTTTTGGGCTCCCTCGTTCCATTCCCAACAGTAAGGGCGGTGCACAAGGATGCTTCATTTATGAGCTAAGGGCGAGAGTCGATTGTATATAATTTTATCCTCGCATTCACTTGAATATAAAATAGTATGTTGTGTATTAAGCTAATACAAAGAGTTACAATATATAGAGATCCTAATGAGCTTAAGTGAGAAGCCAGGACTGATCCAAATCTTAAATAGGAAAATAATATTTACAAACAGGAAAGTAATCTATACAAATCTAAACCAAATTTATACATATTATATTTTCTATTTTGACACATTCTTTCAAAGAGACTGTTTTATACATGTTTTATGTCACACGAAACATCTTAGTTCTTCTACAAGCTCGCCCTCAATCAATTATATATGATAGTAGTTGCAAAATAATAAATATACACTGATTTTTAGCAGGGTTGTTTAATGCTATTTTTTTGGTTGTAGCTAGTAACTTCAAGATAAAACAAGTTTTATGGTGATTGAAGGGTCTATGGATATGAAGAGCAGTTGTAGTTCTTCAATTATTAGGCATCATTCTGTGAATTCATCAAGTTTTATAGCACATCAAATGGATCATGATGCTGAGAGTGAACATGATTTGGAAGCAGGAGCCATAAGTGATCGAGCTCTTCATAGCATTAGATTGTCTTTTGACCACGTTTCAGAAGATGGGGTGGTTGTTTCAAATCCAGGGGTTCACAAATTGCAACCTTATCAAGATGGGGCATCCAATTCTTTCTCTTCTATTAAGCCATTAACACCTGAACTGATGACCCCTCTTTTAAGTAATGAAAGAGAGGATTCTGAAGACATAAAACAGGTAAATTCTTGGTTTTTAAGAACCAGGGTATTTCTTGGTTTTTATTTGTGTTAATCATTCATATGATGAAAAATTCAAAACATTATAGCTTCATTATGATAAATCATGCAGTAGTGCTTGTTGTCTCTACTTTCAGGAACCTGAAAAAGAATTGCCAAAGTTACTGCATTCCGCTTTATGTCTGGTTCATTTGGCTGTTTTTGGTATTCTTGGGGTAATATGCTAACCTCTGAACTTCAATTTTCAGACAGAGATATGTTAGCACTTATTTTTTTAGGTGAAGTATTAATGTTTTTTTATGATATTTGGACTGAAAACTTCTAGCCTAACTGCAACCCTGTCTTACATAATATTGTAGTTTTAATCTGAAATAAAAGATGCTGCCGCACATATTGTGCCAAATTCTTACAAATCTTAAGAACTTCCTAAGGATGGAGCAAGGTAAAACGAGGAAAGGAAATGAAGAAATGTGAAAAAAAGATTGCATTTTGAAATTGCATATGCATGTTGATTCTTAACATCACTATATGCAATAATCCTACTTATTGTATATTCTTAATCATCCTACTCGAGCATCTCCATATTGTTTAGACGTTTTGTCTAATTCAATCTTCATACAAATACTTATTGTCTCATTTCTGGGCTGATTGTTGGAGATCATAATAATACTAGAGTTTGAAGCAGAAAAGCTTTATGCTCTTGCAAGTTTTGATTTGTTCTAGAGAAACAATAAACTATGAGCTTTGAGTAACTTATAGTGCAATACAACCTCTGTGTCAATCTGTGATAGAAATTTAATTTTCCAAAATTGATTTTTCTTGAGGCCTTGCATCCATTTGTCACATAATTGCAAAAGATAGACTGTTCATAACGTAGTTTACCGATATAGTTCTGTGCTGTCTCCTTAGATTTATTTCTCCTTTAATGATCTACAAGTTAGTACTGTTCACTTGAAATATTGCGGAATTGGGTTTTCTGCATAAACCACCGGGGCATTTAGGAGATTCCATTACTTGACGATATTATGTTGTATAAAGTATAAACAACATCTATCTGGAAGAGGATCCTTAGTATTGCAATATAAATCCATTGTATGTGGAAACCTTAAAGGTGGAGTCAATAAGAATAGATTGAACTGAGACATGTTTGATACATTATTATAAATTTTTCAACAAGTGGTATATTTTGATACCTGGATCATGCATTACTATTTGGCATATTTCCTTGATTTCAACCTTTGGAATCTTCTCAAAACTGTTAAGAACACAGTTTCAATTATTCAACTATATTGCGGAAGTAGAACGAAATTAATTATACGACTTCTGTTATCACTTGATGGAATGTTGCTTAACAAGGAAGAAGAGACTTTCCCATAATGATCATTAGCAAAAATTTCTTAACAAACAATTATTCACATAAAAATCTAAGACATAGGTGAGTTTATCAGGAATTGCGTTTGGAAGTTGCAAATCACAAGAAAACTTTGGAGACTTCAAATAAATTTAAATTTGAAACTGAGGTTGGTATTCATGACCATAATGTAGAATTCACTGCCTACATCACTTATAAGTGAGATTGGAGATGTCACCATGAATATCATTTCTCAATAGGAGGCTGGTATAATAGCCCATATTAATTAATTAGGAAATCAAGTGTAATTAATTAATTAAACATGTTTTAGTGAGTAAAATTAAGTATAATGCTAAATTAAATGAATCTGAGTCACTTTGTAGTTAAAAAGTGTACTCAGTGAAAATTAAGGGGTATAAATAGGTACTGCCAAAAGTACCCAAAATATAAAAATAAAAATAGTAATATTCCTAGAATAATATTCCAGACTTTTGGGTAAAGTTTGGTAATTATTGGAGTTGAATAGATAGACGAACCAATACCCGCTTAAAGCCACTTAACCTATGTTAAGTGACTAAAAGCCAAAATGACCCCCATTTCCCCAGTCCCGTCGCCAGAAAACAAAGAGAAGGAGAAGAAGAAGGAGAAAGAAGAGGAAGGAAGGGAGGAAGAGAGAGAGAGAGATCAAACCTTGATGGTTTTGGATGATTCAAAAGCCTAAATCGCTTAGAATCTCGCCCTCTTTCATAATCCTAGCTTTGTTTTGAGTGGGGAGCATTGTGGAGAGAGATATTACCTCTCAAAAATTCGGCCCTTTGGTGAAAATTGGGGTTTTGAGAGTTTCTACCTCCATTGATGCTTGAGGAGCCATCAATCATTGGTTGTGTGACCATTGGTGGTAAGATCCTAACCCTTGAACCTCATGATTCCTTGAAATTTGCATGAGTTAGGGTTTGTGAATAGTAAATTGGGATTTTTATGAAATGTAGTTGAATTAGCTATGTTCTAGGAAGAATGGAGCTTAGAGCATGTTATGGAAAATGCTAGGAATGTCATTTAATCGGTGGAAATGAGCCTAGATAGTCATTTGATAATTGTTCATAATATTGGAAAATTCATGCTTGGATTGGTTAGTATTCTAGCAGGTTGAACAATTAGTGAGTTGAATGATTGATTGGATCCTTGTGATGTCTAGGATTGAGACATTTGGACCAACCGTGAGTGATCAACCATTGGAGCAAGCTATGGAGCTTGAATAGCTCATTGGAATTGGTAAGCTCATACTTGTGTTGTGCTTCGAATTGAGTAATTGATGGTTGATTGTGAAATACTCTTGGATGCAATGTGTTGATTGCATTACACCATGTGTAGGTGTATGTTTGTAAAAGTTGATTGCTGAAACTGTTGGTGAAGAACAAAGGTTGACTGAAGCATTGAGGTAAGCCTTCGGACCTTGGGTGTAATTCCCTTGACTGTTCTACCAAGCCCTGAAAGGGTGGAGGTTGTGATTGTGTATATAAATGCAATAAAATAGTGTAATGCTTTGTTATACGTATGTGTATGCATTTGGTGTGGCATAGGATGGTGTTTCCCTATGTTGGTATGTTGCATGACGATGCGTAAATCATACTTGGTAGTTAGCTGGCCAGTAGGACTATTTGCATCTGAGTTTCCTTAGGACAGCTTGAGAGCTCGAGGGATTTCTCCTGGAGATGTATTGCACTTTGCATAGATATGTATTTACTGCATTATTATTGTTATTGCTATTACACTGATATGGAACTGTGGGGTGGAGAGATGCTCCAAGGACCCCTGGTTTACTGGATATATTCGTATATCTCACCCCGTGTTGTGGGGACCCCCTTTCAGGTAAGGATGCTGCAGGAGCCTCTGGTGGCAAGTGGCCATATCTGGATTATGCATGAAATATGGCATTTCTTTGAGTTTATGCATGCCTTTTGTAGTTGACATGTATAGGATTTTATTTTGAAAGCCCATGGTCATTTGTATATCTTGATTCATTGGATGAACTTAGCCTATGCTCATGCCTTTGGTTACACCTTTTGTTGATGGGAGCCAAGGGAATGATCATAGTGTTTTGTAAGCTAAGTTCTATGATTTGTAAATGATATGTAATGTAAATGATGCCTACTTGAAATTCAATATATGCATGCTTGTTATGTATTGAGTTGTTGAATTGGTTGGGCTGAAATTCAATTAGGTACCCTTTTGTTTAAACTGGTAAACGATGAGAAAACAAAGGTCATGCTGCCCAAATTCTAGCTAAATCTCATGAGGAGAGGTTGGATGAGTGCTAGGATTTAGTTTTGGGGCATGGGCAATTGGGGTTTGTAATGAGGATGCATTTTCCCCTAGGCTTGGACTTGAGAAATGTGGGAATTGGAATTCCCTGGCAGCGCGCTTAAGCGCCCAGGAGCGCGCCCTGCTGCCCCTGCGAGTGCCAATGCATTCTGCCTCCTTGCGCTGGAGCGCCCAAGTGGGGGCTGAAGCGCCCAGGATTGCGCGCTGGAGCGCCCTGGCGTGCGCTTAAGCGCCCTTTGCTGCAGAAAGTTGGGTGGCTTACTGCCCCCTCGTGTTTTAGCGCCCAGGGTGGGGCTTAAGCGCCCAGGGTTGCGCGCTTGAGCGCCCTGGTCCGCGCTTAAGCGCCCTTCGCCACTGAAGGAGGAGATGCTTCTGTCTCTGCGCGCTAAAACGTCCCCGTGGGAGCTTGAGCGCCCAGGATAGCGCGCCTGAGCGCCCTGTTGCGCGCTTAAGCGCCCATCCACACTAGAATGCCTGATGCTTACTGCCTCCGTGCGCTTAAGCGCCCGGATGGAGGCTTTAGCGCCCGATAGCGCGCGCTTGAGCGCCCGGTAGCGCGCTGAAGCGCGCGGGGCCTGTGACCAACACTCTCTTGTGTTGCTTCAAATTGTCCTAACTTGGACTACAGTGCTCCGATTTGAGCACGGTTTGAAGCCACGGGTAGCTAATGAAGAAACCTACAATATAGGTGAAGTATTGAACTAAACAAGAAGTAAATTAATGGTTTAAAAATGGGAAATGAACATGATGTTAAGCTTAATTTATCTGTTTCCGCAAGGTAATATGGTTATGATCACGAAATTGGGTATTATAAGTTCGGTACGTTTTAAAATGAAAAATTTATCCGGATTTTAATTGAACCCATGTGATTGTAACTGCGCTTAATATCATAATGCGATGTTAACAAACCGGTTCTAGAACGGGGTGTTACATTTTATGGTATCAGAGCAGTTTCGTTGGGAATAACTGTTAGCTATTGTTGAGTATGCTTAGTGTTTGATGCTTTATAGTTGTTTTAGTACTCTGTATGATTATTGCATTTGTGATCACTAAGTGTGGGCCTGATCAACTCACTTCTTTGTGTAACATGTGTAGTGACATGACGAGGAACCGAAACAACCCCGGACCATCAAACACCAATGCTCAGCCAGAACCTGTTTTGGCTGCTCTTGTGAGGCCTAGAAGTGGCCGTGGGGCAACGGGCGTACCGCCTGATCCCGTGGCTGAAGCTCTTGCAGCCGTTCAGAGAGAGTTGGCTGCTAGCAGGCAAGCCAATGAAAATTTGTTAAAGACAAATGAAGACTCGCGGACTGCTATGGCCGCGATGATGACCGAGCTGAGGACGTTGAGGGGTCCTAGGCCCGTGAACCGGCAACCGACTCCTCCTCCTCACACTGCTACGCCTTCTCCACCTCCTTCACAGGAAGAGGGTGGAGTGGGTAACAATGAGGGTGAAGGTAGTCACCACTCCGGAAGTCGGAGTCATCACACTGAGGTTCGTCAACCTCAAGTTGAAAATGTCGGTGATCATGAGATGGAGGAAAGGAGACTGATGGCTTTCTGAAAACATAAACCTCCTTCTTTTAAGGGAGGTTATGAGCCAATGGCGGCTGCAAAATGGCTCCAAGCCATGGAGAAGATATTCAGGGTGATGAGGTGCCCTGACGCAATGAAGTTGGCTTACTCTGTTTATATGCTGGAAGAGGAAGCAGAAGATTGGTGGACAAATACCGTGCAGCCATTAGAAGCTGAAGGTCGGGAGATCACATGGCGGTTATTCGAGACATTGTTCTTGGATAACTACTTCCCTAGAGAGGCTAGGGAACAAAAGCAGAATGAGTATAACGATCTCAAACAAGGGTCGATGTCTATTGACCAATACTTCTCAAAATTCAATGAGTTGGTGAAATACGCCAACTATGGGCGAGCCTTACCCACCCCGGCTGAAATGACCTCCAAATTCCAATGGGGTCTTAATGAGAAGATGTCTCGGAAGATGTCAAATTGTGACATCCGAGAGTTCAGTCGGTTTGTAAACCAGTGTAGAAAGGTGGAAGAAGTGTATAAGGTGTCCCAAGCCAAGAAGTCTTCTGAGGCCCAGGCACCTAGTTCCAATAAAGCAACGGGCTCAGGTTATTGGAAGAACAGGAAGGTGCAAGGCAAGAAGCTGAATGCGAATAAGCCCTTTGACTTGTTCAAAAAACCCGGTACTCAGAAGAAGTTTGTTGATAGAGGACCTCCTCCCAAGTGCAAGGGATGTGGCAAAGAGCATAGAGGTCCATGTGCTACTGGTGAGGTGATTTGCTTTAAATGTGGAAGATCCGGTCACTACTCCAGGCAGTGTCCTCAGAACGAAGCAAGGACTATGGCAGTTCAAGCTACTGCTGTTCCGGTCTCTGTTGTTCAACCTATGCTAGAGTCTCAGACGGTTGGTAGAGTATATACCATGGACCGTCAACAATCGGAGAAGGCTCCGAATCTAGTGAAAGGTACAATTTACATTGATAATATGGATGTTGAAGTGTTGTTTGATTCAGGAGCTACACACTCCTGTATGTCTGATTTTATGGCCGTTGGTCTAAATTTGCAAATGTATGACATTCGCCCTCCAATGAAAGTGGTTACAGCTACTGGAGAGGAGTGTTATACATCCGTGTTGTGTAAAGATGTCGAATTCAAATATGAAGGCCGAGATTACGTGCTGGATTTTATTTGTTTACCTATGATCAGCCTTCAAGTTATCTTGGGTATGGACTGGTTGTCAAAGAACTGTGCTATGATAGACTGCTGCGGTAAAAGGATTGTGCTTGATGCTGATGATTCTGCTACTAGTTCTTCCCCATATCTATCTGTGTTGCAGGTTAGAAAGGCTTTGAGGGCCGGGGCATTGGGATATGTCTTTGTGGGGGGTTTAGTAGGCGGAAGTCATGAGGAGATTGGCACTATTTCCGTGGTGAGGGAGTTTGTGGATGTGTTTCCAGATGAAATTCCACAACTTCCGCCTCATAGAGAGATTGAGTTCACGATTGATCTATTGCCTGGTGTGGGGCCTATCTCTCTGGCTCCGTATAGGATGTCACCACCGGAATTAGCCGAGTTAAAGAAACATATTGAAGAGCTTTCGGCTAAGCAGTTTATCCGGCCAAGTGTGTCCCCGTGGGGAGCACCAGTCATATTTGTTAAGAAGAAGGACGGTAGCATGAGATTGTGCACTGATTACCGTCAGTTGAATAAGGTTACCATTAAGAACAAGTATCCTCTCCCTCGCATAGATGATTTGCTTGATCAGTTGAGGGGTGCTTGTGTTTTCTCAAAGATTGATTTGAGGTCGGGTTATCATCAAATCCGAATTAGGCAGGAAGATATTCCGAAGACTGCCTTCCGATCTAGATATGGACATTATGAGTATCAAGTAATCCCATTTGGACTCACTAATGCTCCTGCGGTGTTTATGGATTACATGAATCGCATATTTAAGCCGTTTCTGGATCAATTCGTGATTGTGTTTATTGATGATATCCTGATATATTCCAAGAGTAAGGAAGAGCATGAAGGCCACTTGAGAACTGTGTTGCAAATTCTCAGAGAGAAACAGTTATATGCAAAGCCTTCTAAATGTGAATTTTGGCTTTCTCAAGTGCAATTTCTGGGTCACGTTATCTCTGCTGAGGGAGTAGCAGTTGATCCTAGGAAGATAGAGGCAGTTGTTGATTGGGGGACACAAGAACAAGAATGCTTTCAGAGCCTTTAAGGAGAAACTGACAACGCTCCGGTGTTAGTACTTCCCGACCCGGAAGGTGAATTTGAGCTACACAAGAATGTGAAGAATGCTTTCAGAGCTTGCTGCCAGTGGAGGCATTTCTTGTATGGAATGCAATTTGCAATATTCAGCGATCACAAGAGTTTGAAATACTTGTTTGATCAGAAGGAGCTGAATATGAGACAACGACGGTGGACCGAGTTCCTAAAGGACTATAATTTTGAATTGAAATATCATCCTGGTAAGGCTAATGTTGTAGCGGATGCACTGAGCCGAAAATCCGTGAGTATATCAAGCATGATGATCAGAGATTATGATGTGATTGAGAGGTTCAGAGATATTCAATTATCTAAAATCTTTCCATGTAAAATTTGTGGCTTTGAAATCACGAGCATTGAGAATGAACTGATGACCAGAATCAAAGAAGCCCAACTGCAAAATGAAAGTGCTAGACGACTAAAAGGTCAGAGTGGTGTATCCTGCAATGATGAGGGTATACTATTATATCAGGGTCGTGTAGTTGTACCTAGGCAGTTGGCGGAGAGAGTGATGACAGAGGCTCATAAAGGTCATTTTACAGTTCATCCGGGAGCTACAAAGATGTATCAGGACCTAAAGATGAATTTCTGGTGGCCTGGTATGAAGAAAGATATTGTCGAATTTGTCTCTAAGTGTCTCATTTGTCAGAAGGTAAAGATTGAGCATCAAAAGCCTTCTGGTATGTTGCAACCTCTGGATGTTCCTGAATGGAAATGGGAGAGTATCTCCATGGATTTCGTAGTGGGATTGCCGCGAACACAGGCTAGTTATGATTCTATATGGGTGATTGTGGATAGATTGACAAAATCCGCACACTTTTTGCCAGTTCGGGTAGATTTCTCTGCGGAGAGATTGGCTAGGCTCTATGTGAAGGAGATTGTGAGGCTTCATGGGGTGCCTGAGAGCATTGTTAGTGAACGGGACCCAAAGTTCACTTCTCGCTTCTGGGGAGCATTGCA